CAGTGGAGGACGTCGTGTTCGCACCCAACAGCGGGGACGCCCTCGTAAGCGTGGGGGACGACAAACAGGTGCGTATTGGGGGGGGGGGGGTGGGCAGGAGGCATTGGGGGGAGACGAGGGTGCGTAGGGGCTGGCTGGCGGGTTGGACGGATGGTTCCCTTGACTGCTGTTGAGTGCATGTTTGCCCGGCTGGCTGGTTGGTTGGCTGGCTGTTGGTTAAATGGTTGATGTGTCGATTCGAGGGTCGGGCGGTTCATATGAGTCAGTGGCTGGCCGGTCGGACGGCTCGCCCGCAAGAAGGGTGAGGGGCCGTGGCCCCGCGTCCGGTTGCAGCAGGCTCCGTCCCGAGCGAGGCTTCTTTGCGCCTGCGGGGCGGGCCGCCCTCGTGCGGCTCCTGCCCGTGCGTCACGAGCGCGGCCCGGGGTTCGCTTGGACTTGGGTGCTTGAGGGCGAGGGCTGCCGCCCTGCCGCCGCGCCGGCCGGCACCTGCTCCCAACTTGATCCTCGGCAGCGCCGCCCGTGACTCGCTGCCACTGCCACCCTTGCGCCTGCACAGACACACCGTTTGCTCCCACAACACACACACACACACAAACACACACACGCGCGCGTGCATGCACACCAGCGTGCACGCACTTGATTTCCTCCCCTAAACACACACACACATGCACGCACACGCGTGTCTCCTCTCCTCCCCCCCCCCCCAAGATCCTGTTTTGGGACCTTCGAAAGGGCACGGCCCCTGTGCTGCGCGTTGAGGGTGCCCACGGCACTAGCCACGACATCCACTGCGTTGACTGGAACAGGCTCGACGACAACATGGTGGCCACGGGTGAGACAATTACCCCGGCCCACTCCCATGGCCCACTCGAGCCATGGCGGACGGGGAGCTGCATCGTGTCGCGGCGGGGGGCGGCCTGCGGAAGAGCTGCGGGCGCGGCTGCGCGTCCAGCCTCAGGACTGGTGGATGGGGTGTTGTTTAAACGTGCGGGCGCGTGTTCAGCTCAGTTGCGTGGCAGCCCTCGTCGGCGCGGGCGATTCAGATGCTGACTCAGCGACGGGGCACGCGGCGTCGAGCGCCGCGCGTAGCCCCCGTCGTCCCTTGGTCGGGCCTTGTCCCCGAGGGAGGCTTTCTTTGCAAACCCCCACGCCGCGCGCCGCGCGTTGTGCGCCCTGCAGGCGCCGCCGACGGTTCGCTGCGGGTGTGGGACCGCCGCAAGCTGACGGGGTCGTCGACCCACAAGGGGGCCGCGGCGGTCAAGGTGTTCAAGCAGCACACAGAGGCCATCATGCGCATAGAGTGGCACCCCTCCGAGAAGGTGCGGCCGGGGATCAGAAGCCGCCCACGCGCGTGTGGTGGGGGTGGGGCCGCTTCCTGCAATGGGGCGTTGTTTTCGAGGTCAAGGGGAAAGCCCGCGTCAACCCCGTCTGCATCTTGGCCGCAGGGCGCCGCGGCTGGCCACGCCGCGTCCTCACTGGCCTGCAGAGCTGTCGGCTTTCAGCCGGAGCCCCCTTTGTTTTGTGATTTCTCCACCCTGGCCGCCCGCCGCTGCCCACGTCCCCCCTGCCCCCTCCACCTCCCCGTGTGTATCCAGACCGTCCTGGCCAGCGGCGGTGACGACCACTTAGTGCTGGTCTGGGACCTCAGCCGCAGCAGCATACGGTGGGGGCGGCAGCAGCGGCGCGTCTCGGGGGGCGACGGCCCCGCATCGGGGCGGGGACTGAGGGAACAGGGCGGCCGCGGCGTGCAGGGGGAGGTCGCGGCGGGGTCGGGTCGGGCTTTCTTGGCGGCAGGGGCGTATCGGTCGCCAGGGACAGCGTGGTGGAGGTTGGGATGTTGGGTGGCCCTGCACCAGTCCAGCAAAAGCGGGAGGAGGGGGCAGTGGGAGGGCCAACGCAATGGGCCCGCAGGCCGCCGCCCGCCGCGGCCCCCCCCCCTGGGCCCCCTCCCAGCCCTTGGGCCTGCGCCGCCGCGTCCGGCCCGCCTTCCCACCGGCTCCGCCGTCCCGCATCCCACGCGGCCCCTCATGGCCCGTCTGCCCGTCCCTGCCCTTGTGATGCGCGGCCCGGGCAGGGACGACACCACCACGCCCGCCAAGTCGGGGTCGGAGTCGGGCGCCGCCAAGGCGGAGGGGGCCGCGGGCGGCAGCAAGGGCGCGAAGGGCGCGCCGCCCCCTGAGCTGCTGTTCAAGCACGTCGGACACCGCCAGGGGGTGCGTGCGCTGCGCCGTGTGTGTGTGTCATGTGTGCGTGTGTGTGTGCGCACGCGCACGCTTGTGCGCTGCGCGCGCGGGCTTTTTGGTTCTAGCAGTGCTTGACACACACTCGCACACGCACACAAACACACACACAACCACACACACATGTCCACACGGGCTCGCCAGCCGTCTATTGAAAAAGTGCCATGCACCGTGACACTCCAACCCTCCTCGCTCGCTTGTATGAGCGCAGAAGGTGGTGGATTTCCAGTGGTGCCCCTCAGACCCTTGGACCATCCTATCCGTCTCGGACGACACAGTCGCCGAGGACAACCCCGCCGCCCCCGCCGCCGGCAAGGGCTCCAAGGCGCCCGGCAAGGACGGCGCCGCCGCCGCGGCGGCCGCGGGGCCGGCGCCGCCGGAGGCGGGCGCGGGCTCGGCG